ATAAAAGTTTGTATATTTACAAACAGAATAAAAGTTTATATATTTACAAAAAAAAGCTTATAAACAGAATAAAAGTTTGTACATTTACAAACAGAATAAAAGTTTATATATTTACAAAAAAAAGCTTATAAACAGAATAAAAGTTTGTACATTTACAAACAGAATAAAAGTTTATATATTTACAAAAAAAGACTTATAAACAGAATAAAAGTTTGTATATTTACAAACAGAATAAAAGTTTATATATTTATAAAAAAAAATTATTTATAAATTGAATAAAAGTTCATATATTTATTTAAAAAAAAGATAAAAACTTATAAACAGAATAGTTTGTATATTAACTAAAAGAATAAAAGTTTATATATTTATTAAAAATAAACATTTAGGCATTTATAAAAAATAAAATTGTTTATTTATAAAAATATAGATTGTAGTACATAAATTGAGAGAAAAAGAAAATAGAATTAATACAAGAAGAGAAAAAAGAACAAATCATATTTGAAATAACAGCAAGTGTATTACATATATTACAGTTTCCGTAATAAAATTGATTAACTCTAAACCATCACTTTTTAAAGTTTTATTTTTGAAAATGGCAGATAAACAACAAAAACGAAAAGAATATATGAAAACATATCGTGAAAGAAATTGTAAAAAAATTAGAGCTCAAAACAGATCACATTATGCAGAAAATCGTGAAGCAATTTTGAAACAAAGTGAGGAAAACTATACAGAAAATCGGGATGAAATATTAGATAAAAGATGCAGAAATTATGCTGAAAATCGACAAGTTATTAAAGATCGAGTCAATAACCGATGTCAAAGTACTGTAGAAAGACATTTTAAATCGGCTATTTTTGGGTCTCCAAATTTTGCTTATCCTAAGACCCATAGTCTTGGCTCTTTGAATATTGAATGCCAGTACTGTGAAGCGGTTCATTTTAAAGATGAATTGAAAACCATGTGCTGTCACAATGGCAAACTATCTCATCTTTCTGCTCAGAATGGACCTGAAAATTTTCCTATCGCGCTAAAAGACCTCTTCTTAGGAACTGATGCAAAATGCAATAACTTTCGAGAATTTATTCGACAATATAATAATGCGAACGCTTTCGCATCGATGGGTGCTAAGGTTGAAGACATTCCAGGAAACGGTCCATATTGTTTTAAAATATCCGGTGAAGTATACCACCGTACCTCAGAAAATATCCAAATCGATACTACTTTACAGCCAAATTCTATTCAAAAAATTATTCATGAGCCATCTTATGCTGAACTATATGTTTATGATACGGACACTTCTATTGAGATTCGAATGAGAAATCCTGCAAATGCTCAATGTCTTCGTAATAATATGATTACCATAAACACAGTTTTAAGCGCAGTGTCTCCTTATGCCAGTTCCTATCGGAAACTTCGAGAAATTTATGAACAAGAGGTATCTAAAGCGAACATTGTCGGTTCTTCTATGAAAAAGATATCTTTGGTCTTTACTCGCAACCTACATGATGACCAAAGGGTCTATAATGCACCTCGAACTTCAGATGATGTTGCTATTGTATATGTATCTGATCGTGATGGTAATATTCCGGCTGAACTTGATTTTGCAGTTCAGCCGAGTAATTCAAATACTCTGAAAAGGATTAATATGCTCTCTAAGCATCTCGATCCTATGATTTTTCCACTTTTTTTCCCAAATGGTGATTTTGGGTGGACCACAAATTTGTCGCATAATATGAATCATGCTACTAAGATACGAAATAAAGTAACGATACTTGAGTTTTATTCAAACAAAATTGCTATTCGACGCAATCATTTTAATCCTTTGTTTTACGGAGGAAAATTATTTCAACAGTATTTAGTTTATGCATATGCCCGTTATGAAGCAAATCGAATGACGTATATCAGAAATAATCAAAAGACTTTACGTGTAGAATCATATAAAGGTTTATTAGATCATGTTAATAGCGTCGGTCGAGACAATAATGCCCGTGTTGGTAATATTTTTATCCTGCCTTCAACATTTGTCGGTGGTCCCCGCTTTATGTCCAAATTATATCAGGACAATATGGCAATGGTTCGGAAATTTGGTCGTCCTGATTTATTTATTACTTTTACATGTAATCCTAAATGGGAAGAAATAAAATCCGAACTTAAAGCTTTTCAAAATTCATCTGATAGACCAGATTTAGTAACTCGGGTATTTCGTTTAAAATTAAAAGAATTTTTAGATGACATAGTTAAAAGAAAAATTTTTGGAGAAATTTTGGCATATGTATACGTTATAGAGCATCAAAAACGGGGTCTTCCCCATGCTCATTGTCTATTTACACTCTCGAATGAAGATAAAATTAAAAGAGCAGACGATGTTGATAATATTATCTCTGCTGAGTTACCGGATCGAAATGTACAAGACGAGCTGTATAACATAATTATAACGCAAAACATTCATGGACCATGTGGCCGATTAAATCCTAAATCAATTTGTATGGTTGAAGGATCTTGCTCCAAAAATTTTCCTAAAGCCTTCTGCAATGAAACTGATGTATCTACAGATGGTTATCCAATATATAGACGCCGAAATAATTCTAACGAAACTCATTTTACACGTAATAATATTCAAGTAGATAATCGTTTTGTTGTACCATACAATTCATTTTTAAGTCTTAAATATAATGCTCATATTAATGTTGAACTATGTTCAACTGTTAAAGCTATCAAATACATTAACAAATATATTACAAAGGGTTACGACTGTGCTCGAATCGGCGTCCAAGTCAATGCAAACGATAACGTAGAAAAAGTTGTTGATTATGACGAAATAAAACAATATTTAAATTGTCGTTATATTAGTTCTCAAGAAGCAGCTTGGCATCTTCAAGATTTTCCTATTCACGGTCAATCTCATAATGTCGTCATGTTGTCTATTCATTTGAAAGATGGCCAATCCATCTTTTTCGAAGAGAATCAAGCTGAAAACGCTTTGCGACGAGAGTCGATCGCATGCACGACTTTAACTGCTTATTTCGATTTAAATGTTTCAGATTCGAGTGCGCATCAATATCTATATCAAGATATTCCTAATCATTACGTATTTAAAAATAAAAAATGGGTAAAACGTTCAGAGGTTTCCCATCACGGAGAGAAAACAATCGGCAGAATTATTTCTGTATCTCCTAGAGATGTAGAATTGTATCATCTTCGCTTGATTTTGCTCTCGGTGAAAGGTCCGGACGCTACGTCTTTTGAAGATCTTAAAAAGTTCAATGGACAAACTTATTCAACATATAAAGATGTAGCAAGAGTTAGAGGTTTGATTAATGATTCAAATGAGTGGCATAATTGTATGTACGAAGCATCAAGTTATATGATGCCTAAATGTTTACGATCATTATTAGTTACAATTATTTGTCATTGCAACCCTGCAAATCCTTTGCAACTTTTCGAAGATTTCAAAGAAGATATGACTGAAGATTTTATTCAACAAGGAAATAGTGTAGAAAAATCTCTAAAATTATGCATTAATGACATACGAATGCAAATTCAACAAAATGGTTTCGATTTTAATCAATTTTTACCATTTCCTAATTTCGAAGATATTTCAGATCGCGAAGATAATTTAGTTAACTGTACTGTTGATGGCAATAACTTATTATGGAATGATCTTAATAGTGATCAACTTTTAGCTGCGGATACTATTTTACAATCGTTAGTCGATTTAAACTCGCAGAAATGTTTTTATTTAGATGGTCCCGGTGGAAGCGGGAAAACGTTTTTGTATCGTGCTCTAATTCAAAAAGTTGATCTCATTGGTAAAAAAACATTAATCGTTGCATGGACAGGAATTGCTGCTACTTTATTGCCAGGTGGAGTTACATGCCATTCAGCCTTTAGTTTACCCTTAGACCTTTCTACTGTAAAATCTCCTAGACTTACTCAAATCAAAAAAGAATTTTTGAAATCGGTAGATTTGCTTATTTGGGATGAAGCTCCCATGGCACCAGGTACAGCTTTAGAAATAGTTGATTTAATATTTCAAGATTTGATGGGTGTTAAAATGCGTTTCGGTGGAAAGGTTGTTGTGTTGGGAGGTGACTTTCGGCAAGTTCTGCCAGTTATTAGAAAAGGATCTCGATGTGCCATTATTGCTTCAACAATCAAAAAATCTTCTGTTTGGCCTTTTTTTCAAACATTCAGATTAAAACGCAATATGCGAGCTATCACAGACCCTAATTTTTCTAAATGGCTTTTAGATATTGGTGATGGAATGATACATTCACCAGAAATACCTAAAACCCAATATTCAGTTGAAGTTCCGATTTCTTTAATATCTAATGACATCGTTACAGATATTTTTGGTAATAGTTTTAGCTATACTGATGTTGAAAAATTTTCTAGACGTGCAATTCTCTGTCCAAGAAACGAAGATGTTCGATTAATTAATGAACGCGTTTTAATAAATTTAAATAATGCTGTACAAATGAGTTTTTACGCGATTGACTCTATAAAAAATGATGATGGTGTAGACGATCATGATTTACAAGTCAATATTCCGGTAGAATTTCTAAATACGTTGAATCCATCTGGACTAGCACCGTATAAATTAAACTTAAAAGTCGGTTGTATAGTAATGCTTTTGAGAAATCTTTCGGTAAACAAAGGACTATGCAATGGAACTAGAATGATTGTTAGAGCGTTTCGTCAGAATGTACTTCAATTGGAAATTATTACTGGTGCATTTTCTGGAACTGTTCATTTCATTCCTAGAATTTCTTTGGATACATCGAATGATCCAGCGCTTCCATTCAATTTTGTTAGACACCAGTTTCCAGTTCGACTTGCATATGCGATGACAATAAATAAGTCTCAAGGGCAAACTTTTGATAAAGTTGGACTTTATCTTTCAGAACCATGCTTTTCTCACGGTCAGTTTTATACAGGATGTTCACGAGCAATGGAATCTAATGGTTTAAAAATTCAAGTAAAAGATACCACTAGACAAGGCAAAACAGATAATGGGCAAACTGTAACAGATAATGTTGTTTATCAGGAAATTTTTTCGTGATTTCTGTATGTTTGTTTTTATGAGTTCATAATTTCAATAATTTTCTTTTTATCTGATAAATGAAATATACTAATCGAAACTTCTTATTAAACCGCTTTCTCCTATAATATCAAAGTACAACTCTTCACAGGGGCCTCTAGTTCCTTTCTAAGATCGTTTTCTGATGATAACGTAATTGTAAGTAACATGAAAAAATAACATAAGTTCATACTTTTTACACTATCTAAGACCATCCAATAAAAAGTAGTTGACGAATAAAAAACAGAAATAATGTAAGGTATTTGAATTGCAAATCAAAAGTACCACTGTACTGTTATTCTACAGCAATCTCTGCGGAATTGATCTTCGTTTAACATGATTATTCAATTTTCAACGAAAAGATTCTTTATTTTTACGGTCTTAGAAAATAGATCATAAGCATAACTCTCTATTTCATTGTAATTTATGCTC